GGAAACAAGGCAACTAATGACTCGTAATAATTGCGGTTCATGTTCGGTAAGAAAAATAGGCTTCATTAAATACAAATGCGCTTAGCAGGAGGCCAGGCAGGCAAAATTTCAGCCCACAGCCAAATCCCAAGAGAGGCAACAACATCGCAAAACCGAACCAACGAGCATAACAAACGATCTATGAACACACACATAGAAGTATGTGTGACACTGGGAAAAACCAATGTTTAGTTTAAATACAATCTATTTAAATTAAATACAATTTATTGACCAGTTCTTTAATACAAACAGGGAGTTTTTTGTCAAAGAGATAACTTAGGTTAGGTTGGATTAGGTTGTTGATGCTGATCAAGAATATATGTATATGATTTATGAGGTCGGAAATGACTCCTTCATAATTTTTTAAGCTTCTAACTAAAATTATAATACCCAAATAAACAAACTTTTGTTTTAGTATAATTTAAAATTATTCAAAGACTTTCACGGTTTCAAACAAACTAAACACATTTTGCTCAATTCACATTTCTCTCCATGCAATTCCTGGCCATTTCAACGAGCTCGAACACTTTGCGGTTACACCCAGGAAATTGTTTGTTGGATTTAGGAATTATATTTTGCTGCTGCTGCCTTTGCTGGCATGATACAAAATTTAAACCGGCAAAACAAATATATATTCGTGTTCCAGCATGTGTGCCACACACACAGTCTGTCTCGAGCGATATGCCTCTGATTAAGTTGTGCGAGAGGTCTTTTCAATTTTTGGTAGAGAGCTTGAAAATTATGTGAAAATGGAATTTAAACGCAAACAATTTGTTATTAGCCATTTAAGCCTGTTTGCCTATGCAATTTCCTTTCTTCTGCGGCCGAGCACACGAGGCGTATACACAATGTGGCTAGGCGCAATGATGTTAAAACGTTTTATGGCCACCATTGAGGACTGGCTTACAGGAATCCGCCTTTGACTTGTGCCAAATTATTTGCACATTTGCCACCCAGCCGAACATGGAGCATTGAGGAGGATGTGGCGAATTATTTGTTAACTATTTTGCAAATTGTTGTAGTTCTCTGAACCTCTCTCTCTGTGTGTGGCCATTACTAACACATGAGCGCATATTTTGCCGCTGACCGGCGAAATTTTTGTAGGGCCAAATTTATTGAGCGTAAAATTTTGTGGGTATTTTCGCTTGCCTTCCGTGTGTGTGTGTGTGGGCAAAACTAAAAATAAATATAAATATTTATTAGTCTGCAAAGTGTGGTGGTGCCATCGCTTTGCATAAATGCAAATGAATGTGCCAAGATGTGAGGCCTCGGCATTGACCCATTTCCTGGCCAAGGCATACTGGTTAATGTACTGGAAGCTGGAGGCCCAGCAATCAAATGATTCACTCAACCAGAGGAGAGTGCTCCTCGCAAAGTGATTTGTGCAGGGAAAGTTTAATGAAATGTTTTCGAGCATCCTGCAACCATGAGAGTTCGAAGGTATCTTCAAATATATATTCCCTTTAACCTATTATATATTATATACTCAACTTCTAGCACTTAGTTAACTTTTAACCAAGCATAAACACACCCTATAAATGCTACAAAGATCGGGGGCCGTAAATTGATGTGGCACAATGTGGGGAACAAATAAAAACGCAGTAAAGCAAATGCCCGGGGAGGATGTGACTCGCATTCCGCTGGGGTTAAACAATTCGGTTATTTACCTGCCTAAAAACAAATCCCCGTATACAGAGATACGTGTATCTACGGCTAGACAAGTGTCAGGCACCAGATAATCATTTCAGTTTACAACTTTTTTTCTTGTTCCTGCTTTTGGCACACAAAAAAACTTTTTTGGAATACCCTCGACTCATTGTCGCGCCTGCTTTATGGGCGGTAGCTATTGCCATTGAAGTTGTTGCCGTTTGGGCCGTTGTTCCTTTTTATTGCGGCGTTTATATTTGTTGGCAGGAAATAGCTTTCGTGTGCTCACATTCGATAGATACAATCGCAACACGCAACAATTTGCACTTCTTTATGTTTACTGAACTTCAAACTTTGTTTGGGGGTCTCTCCTTTCCGATTCGGTCCTTTATTTATATAAACATATTTTACTTTTCATGCATGTGCGCACCTGTTCCCTCTCTCTCTCTCTATATATATATATATATATATATATATATATATATATAGAGAGAGAGAGGGAACATATATATATATATCCTTTTGCGGGCTTATCCGGTGCTATGTGTGATTTTATTTATTTCCGTCTGCACCTGCTTCCCCACCAAACTCCCAGAGCAAGGGGCCATAAAGATTTCCAGAATGCGGATACAAATCTGTGCCGGGGTATCTGAGAGATACGGCCTGGGGCGGGGCAAAGGCCAAGTTTAAAGACAGTTTTCCTTTTCAGCCCCCAGTTCGCATTTGGTTTCTGCAGTTTTTATTACATTAAAGGATACCCGGAATTGGGTTTTGGGTCTTTGCCACTAACACCTCTCTTTTCTTGGCTTTGAAAAATTATTGCAGGAAACTTTTTTGTTTATTTGTTACTTTCGGGAACTCTGTATTGAGACTACAGTGACTTTAAGGTATATTTTAACATTTTAATGATCAATATGTTAGCGTTAAGGTACATTTGTTTAAATATATAACTAGTTTTTTATTACACAAAATTCAACTTTTTAATATTTTCTTAAGGAAGTACATTCTAAAAGAATGGGTTGTATATTAATTACTTAATAACTTAATATACCTTAAAATCTTAACCATTGAGTGTTCTGTTATTCTATCAACTTTACCTCTGACCACATCTAAAATTATTTAAATAACTTTATATATATTGAATGCATGACAACAGAAAGTAGTTATATGATCTTGACTTTACTCTCCTTTTTGATTAAATTTAACTGTTACGAAGGAAAAGTTTTAATTAGAGGCAAAGATTCATTCGACGTCCTGCTTGGGCCAATGGTCTTGTGCTGTGCATATTAATTGGATTAAAAACAAGTTAATTAACATTGAAATCTGTGAGCGGTTGACCGAACCACAGGGCGGATGAGCAATGAGTTTCAAAGCTACAAGTTACTCATACGCCCTGTGGTCTTTTTGGGGGAAATCCTCTTTGCCCACAGCCCCCGTTACGGTTGCAGTTATAATCAGCTTAGCACAGCAGTTGCTACTGCAACATCAAGCGATGATTGCCCCAGACCCATCTGGCTACTTACATGTTTAAACAATATTTCTTAATTGAAATGCTGGAGGGCAAACCAACTAACATTAGCAGTGACAGCGTATAGCTCATGAGTCTGTTTTCCCACAAAACACCAAGCCGTACCAGGGAATTGTCTGAGTTCACTTCCCTTCCTACCTCTCTTTTTTGGGATTCCCCGCCCATTTTGGCTGCAAGCGAGCTGAGCAGAAATTAATTACATTGAAGTCATTTATCAAGAAAGTTTATTTCTTGCAGTCCGGAGCTGGCCAAAAAAGCCAAACTAAACCAAACCAAACCAAACCAAAACGAACCTAACCGAACAGAAATACAACAGAAGTGCAGAGAGAAAAATTTAATTAGAAAGAATTAGAGAAGAGTTATTTTTCAAGAGTTTAGCTAACCAGGAAGCAATAATCTGTAGGTTTAAGAGCTGGTTTAATTTTAATATTAGTACATATTTGGTTTGTAAGAATTACTTTATATATCACTAGTTTTTTTAAGTGTATTACCCAAACGGCAACCGCATCCCGTCAGTTGCTGTTTCCGTTACTGGTTGTTGTTATGCTTATTTTTATTTATTTGCCCTGGCCCTGCCTATTGTTAGTGAGAAGTAAATCAATAAATGGCATTGGGCTTTTGGATTTGTTTCAGTTTCTTCTTTGCTATTTTTATTTTACTTATTTTTTTATATATATGTGTATATATTTTTGTTCTGGTATTTTTTTTACCCCGTTGAGCTGTGCAAAATAATTGCAAAAGTTTTGCCCAAGCTGGCAAATTGTTTGCTGCATTTTCGATTAGCAAAATGTCAATTTCAAATGAAAATGAAAATAAAAAGAAACTACCAAAGCACTTGGCCAAATTGTCGTTAACTGGCAAATGCCACTACACAGAAGTTGGGTTTTTTCGGGGACGCAGGATGCAGGACACTATGGGCAGTATGGATACTGGAAAGAGAGAGGTTATCGAGAGGACATCGAGGTCTCTGGCGACAAGCGGAGCCATTTTCAAAATTTGATTTCGTTCGAGCCAAAAATTGGCAATAGCCAGCGACCAGAAGCATCCGCCGCTGCACAACCAGAAGGGCTACGAACTGGGGGTCAGGGGTCGCATCTACATGACAGCAATATCCATCACAAGGCTAAAGCTGCTGCTTCTACGCTCCATTCTGGCTTGACGATATACAAAAATTGGTTTAATCAACTGTGAAACAACTGCAGCAACGACACTAGCTGAAATAGCAACCAGACCCAAACGGAACTTGGCCAGGCTATAACGTAGTAAAACTGGGATGAGGATGAACGGGGCTTACAAGTGCAATGCAGTATCTATAAACAAGTATAAAGTTTAGAGTTGAGAGAAGGAGGAATCGTGATACTCTATCATTAGATTAAATTAGGTAAATTAGTAACTATCTCTTGCATACACAAATCTTAGATCAATTGAGCTTTACGATTTTTGAGTTTAATTACAAATACTTGATGAAAGTTTTTTTTAAGAATATGCTATGTTGAATATGCTATTTTATCGTCTAATTTTCTTTATAAACTTATACCTTTTAACAAAGTTCTCCTTGTACTCTAACTACCCTTCCAATCTAATACTTTTCGCTACAATATTCAACGTTAGCTGATGTCGCTGCGTGGGCCATGTCGGTGCTATCACTATCGATATTCACTTTCCTTGTCAGTGCGCACCAACAACAGCTCCAACGTTGTGTGCCAATTTTAGTCCTTACTTATTCCAATTTCTGTCCATGGACTATATATGTATGTTATATATCGATTTATGGACTATTTTGCAGACAGCCGCGGAATGGACGCCGCCGCCGATGGAGTACCGCCAGCGGCGCCAGCAGCAGCAGCAACAACGGCCAACAGCGATCTGGACTTGGCGGCCCGACGACGGCTCTTCATTTCACAGCCTTCAACTTTGGCTACGCGCCGCCAGCAGGCGGTTTGTGTGCGTCGTGCCCACAAGATGTATGGAAGCAGCAAGAATCCCAATGTCGTACTCGATGGCCTGAACATGACAGTGCCCAAGGGCTCCATGTGAGTGCATTTCTAGATAGACTAAGACATATGGTTTTTGGAGTTTCGCAGCATTCCCACATACTTCATATAATCTTGTAATCACTTTAAAATAATATTCATGGGAAACGAATTAAATGTGATCAACAGACTTAAAGTCTACGTGATTTCTAGCATTTATCATATATGTATTTATGCATTTTTCCCCTCAACTAATTAAGTATTTTCTTTTTTTTCGAAAATAAGCAGGGAAATGTGATTTGTGTTATGATAGCTTATGTAAATATCCGCGTTTCGCTTTCCCCCCAACTAATCTAGCCTCATTAGAATCCAACTCCAAATGGTTTAAAAACTAATGTGTGGGTACAAAAATAGATGAGGGGAAAAAATATCATATGCACGGTACTCTACAGAGAGCGACCCAGAGAACCGTGATGACAAAATCCAAAATCGAATATGCAAATTTCCGTAGAGCGTGCGGGATATGGAAATTGAAATTGGAATTGGTATGGGGATTTCTGGTGGGGTTGGAGGCGGGTTAGCTCTAACGAAATGCAAATGCAGTTTCCGAGATGGATTGAGTGGGATCATTGTTGTTGCCGCTGCCGTTTTTGTTTAAGTGCTGTGTGAATGGCCGCGAAATGTTAGTGACCGCAATTAGCACTCGGCATTCGATGGATGGAGCTCTGGCGGCAAATGAGGCAGCAAAGCGCCGAAGACGATGAGCGGCAAGTCGACAGACGGAAACTGGGTCAATGTCAGCGCTTGAAAAAACTGCCAAATTAACAGGGGGAAGGGGCAACAACAAAAGACGACGCAGCATCTATTGAAATGGAAACCAGTTTTTTATCTTAGCCAAGACTGAAACCACATACAGGTGATCCGAAAGAGTTGCCAGACATTTAACTACCTGTTTGTAGACAATTACATACCTGATATTTATAATGCGATTAGATACTTTGTATTCATAATACATAACGCAAGGCTGAATCCGAGTGAGAAAGTGGTTATACGATAGGTCTTTTAATTATTTCTGATGGATTTATTCATGAGATGAGAGAATTTCTAGCGCTACAAGTTCATAAATCTTTTAGATTATTGCCTTAAGCATAAAATATTTGTTGGGAAATTGTAATAATAATGTTTTAGCTGCAAATGCCTTAGTTGAATTCTAAGTGTATTAAATAGATTTTGTATATGCTAATTTTATGGGTAAATCCAAATTTTTGAAATACCATAAGTAAGCCAAAAATGCTTTAATTTCTTTTTGCTCTTCTTTTTTATGCTCGTTATTGTCGGGTTAACAAATCTGCATATTTAGTTTTGTAATTTAAAATATTCAATTTTGTTGTCAAATTTCGACAATTTTAACCCCTTATGAAATTTTCAAATTTCGAAAATTTTTATTTCCATGGGATATGTCTAGATCGATTCAGCTTTTGATTCTGATCATTAATATATGTGATATATAGGGTCGGAATTACTTCTTCGTGGTGTTTCAAGCTTCTGACTGAAATTATAATACCTTGATTATATGTACCCTTGTAGAGTATTGTAATTTTAAAGTAATTAAAGAAAATATAGTCACACATTAATTATATATTTCCTAAATTTTATTACTACTATAAATATATATAGACAACAATTCACACCCTTTACACTCATCACAGGTTCTACAAAAAAAACAGTAACTTCCACAGCTAACCATAGTTTCTAGCAACTAAAATTGTACCCACACAAAATCCAGGTAAAAAACCTTTTCAGCCACAAAATCGCCGCGAGACGACTGGGGGAAGGGCAATAGCCTGGCCATGATATAACAGCCGCCTTGACGTGGGTGTTTGTTTTGGCCATTTAGCGAGACATTTCACACCGCCTGAGCGACTCACTGACTGACTGACTGTCACACTTGAAAATCTGCGAAAAACCAACAACAGTTCCACAAACAAAAGAGGCCCAGCTGAAACGGTGCAAAATAAAAGAAACAAAACAAAAAAATACAAAACTGAAACACCAAAATGAAGAAAGAAAAACTGTCAGCAGCGCGTTAGTGTGAACAAGAAGATTTAGCACAAAATATGTCGCCCGGACTCACACTCCGCAGTGAGGACTACGGCCTCAGGACTTGGGACTGTGGAGTCCGGACTCCGGACTCCGGACTGGTGGACTCCGGGACTTTGATTCCGCTTCCACTTCCTCGCCTGATTCCCTTAGCTTTTGGGCAATGCTGTCAGTCAGCAAGCCCAAAAAGGCTGGGCCTGTTACACAGAGGAAAATGTTACTTTACTACCTATAATTTGACTAAAAAGAATGAAAATATTTAAAGTACAGATACAATTTCATAATTCAAATTTATAGTTGATCTTCCCAAAAAAAGTATTACCATTTATCCGATAATTGTTCACTGTGCATCCAAAAATTGGGGGGAAAAAATTCAAGAAGATTTGTGTTTTTGTTGTCGCCCAAAAACTTTGAGCCGCTTTGGTAGGCGCGTTACAGACAGTCTCCCTTCGTTTATTTTTTGGTATCTTTTTTTTGGGCCCGCATGCTGACTGACATTTGTTTTGTTGCATTTCTTTGTTTGTGGGAAGAACCCAGCCCCTCTGGTTGGAATTGGGCGAGGTGTTAGGCTGTGTGGGTGGTTATGAGCCTTTGGCCATCATTCGGATGCCTGTCTGCCGCCGTGATAAATAATTGTGTTTTTCTTGCTTTATTTGCAATGAATTATAGTTATTTTTCTCCATCCAACCACTGAGCAGCAGCAGAAATCATATATATGTATAGACAAACAAGACAAGTGTAGACAACAATGAACACTTGAAGTGATGTTTGTGGTCTGGGCCAGAGTGTTTGCAAATAAATCACGCCATTGATGCATAAATAAAGCGCAGAAATTACGCGGTCTCTGCAGCGGCTGGATTTATGGCCATCGGAGTGTATTTGATTTGGCGGATTGAAAAGTCGCGCATCGGTTGGATAAATTGAATTGCGAAAATGGGAATTTTTGCAAATGGCAGCCAAATAAAAACAAGAAAGCGAAAGATTCATCTGACAGCCAGGCCAAACTGATGAATTAATTTTTTACCAATAGTGCTTTTAAAGTTTGCAAAAATAATGATCGAGGAATAAAACAAAATTTGAGAGCACACATAAACCAAATTGTAGCTAACAAACTTGGTTTTGTTATATCAATATAAATCGTTTATTGAATTGCAATTTAAATCCTCTATGAGGAATTAACTAACAAACAATAACCATAATCAACCCATTACAGAACCATTAGTTCATTGTGGTTTTACATCGATTTCCACTGAATAGGTCTGCCCATTGGGTTGCTTAATTTGCTGATGATTTCATAATCCACTTCCGCTCTCTGAACCATTTCCGCACTCAATTACTTAAAGACAAAGTGGCTTTTCTTTAAGGCAACGCTGCCAACAAGTTGATCAACTAATTGCATCGTGTCTCCTGCGAGTAATTAAATGTTTTATGTCTCTGACCCCAAAAACGAAATGTCCCTCGAAGAGCCACAAACAGCAAATAAAACCGCAACACACACACATATAGTATACATTTTCTTCAAACTCCAATTTCCACCTTAACCTCAACCCGCTTCCCATTCCACTTGTTGCTGCTGACCACAGGCTGAAAGGCTTTCTTGGTCCTAGCTGGAAGCCAGTTCGTCCTTGTGGTCATATCCTGACAGATTGGGTTAATGGAGAGCTGTCCAAAATATGAAGGCTTTCCGGTTTGTTTTAAATTCAAAATATTGGAAATTATTTTAATACATTAATTAATTATTTGTATATTATAGAGGAGATGAAAATCTAATATAGTAACTAGTAAGTTCAAACTATAATAAGAGTTCTGATCATGTAATACAGCTAATTATTTATTTTAAGATGTTTTAATTATGCTTTATAAGATTAATTTAAATAGATTTATTGAAGAATTAAAAGCAAGGTTTTGTTCTGTAATTCCAAAGCTGCATTACACACTTTTTTCGAAAGCTTAGCAGGTGCTGGATGTTGCTGCCAGCTATGGACGGTGAAAAACAAACAAGGAAAACAACTGCAACGCAACAGCAACAACAAAAGCAACATCAAGGACAATAACAATGGCTGCCCGTTGCCGCCATTATTTTGACATACGAGAAAACCTGAGCATGGGCGAGGAAAACCAGAGAGAACCAGCCTGGGGAAATGGAGAACGAGAGGCCAAGGCCCGGCCGACCGGCGGTTCGGAACAATGGAGGACACGGCAATGTTTTGGGGCGGGTTTCCCTGCTCTCACACAGTCCAGGACCAAAGGCATATTACAATGCTGCAGGCTCTGGCGAGCGGGGTGGATGGGGGGAAGGGGAAATGGCGGGAAACATGGGCAACATGAAGAAACATAATGGCTGCTTACAATTTGTGAACGAGCATAATGCGAACATTACATCCGCGCCATTGTTCTTGGCCCGAAGAGGGGCACGGGTGATGGGTCAGTCGAGCTTTGGGGGGGTAGGCTGGGTGGCTCAAATTAAATTAAAGCTGTTTAGTTGTAATTGGTCGTTGAGAGGGGTCCAGACAGTTAGGAGGGCTTTGCGCTCCCCGCCTCCCCGCTCCTTTTCGACTGGAAGTGACCCTTTTTCTGGGTCCTTGACGGCGTCGATTTTCGGTTGTGCGTCTCTCCGTTTTTTTGCACTTTATTGCACCCACCATGAAAATGGTGAATTAATGGACCATGAGTAACGCTAAATTGAGTTCGGGCTCAAACACATACAACACACACACATAATAAACTTGGCCAGGCCAGAGTCTGTGATTTTTAATCTTGGTCAGCCACTTTTAATTGATTGTAAATTGTTATTGAATTATTCAATACAAAGTCAGGGCCAAGGCTGAAGTTAAGTATTGGCCATTCCGCTGGCCATTTTAATAAGGTTATAATTATTTTGTTGGCCTGACATTAATTGTTGTTACTGTTACTCTGCTGGCCTCATGGTATATATCAATAACAGACCTTAAATGTGGCAA